CCACCTTTTTGACCGAGTTTTTGATCATTTCCTCAAATTTCTCCTGATGTGTCACAATGTCAAATGTTGCCTCTCGACATTGTCAGGGCTTTCCTTGGGAGGATTTGTAATGTTAAAGGCACAACATAAGTGCATGATGTTGGTGCAGTGAACTACAGCTCAGAGATTAGCAACTGGATATTGCAAACTCTTTTGGTTTGATTTTCCCTGGAGCATCGGAGACTAAGGGCTGACCTTATAGAGATTTATAAAATCATGCAGAGCATGGATAGAGTGAATAGACAAGGTCTTTTCTACAGGGTAGAAGAGTCCAAAACCTGAGGGCATAAGTTTAAGGGGAGAGGGGAAAGATTTAAAAAGGACCTGAGGAATAACATTTTCACGCAGAGGGTGATGTGTCTACTGAATGAGCTGTCAGAGGAGGTGGAGGAGATGGGTACAAATACAATATTTCAAAGGCATTTGGATGGGTACATGAATAGAAAGGATTTAGAGGAGTATGGGCCAAATGCTCGCAAATGGGACTAGGTCAGTATGGATGAGTTGGACCGAAGGGTCTGTTTTCGTGCTGTGTAACTCTATGATTCTATGATATGGCTGAAATGATTGATTTTCCGCCTGGAAATGCGTTAATGGGAAGGTGATGATTAGGGGTATTTTCACTAGACTATTAATCCATAGGCCCAGAAAATGTCATTGGGACCGGATTTCGAATCCTGTTGAGGCAGATGTGGAATTTAAACACAAATTTTAAAAAATCTGTAATTAAGAATCTACTGATGATCGTGAAACCATTGCTTAATGTTGGGGAAAGACCCATCTGGTTTACTCATGTCATTTAGGGAAGGAAACTGCCATCCTTACTGGTCTGGCCTACATGTAACTCCAGCAATGTGGTTGACTCTGAACTCCCCTCTGGGCAATAAATGCTGCCCAAGCCCCTATCCCATGGATAAATTAAAAAGTGATTGATTTTGGTGTAAAGCATCCTTTCAGAGCCAATACCTGCCCATGGTATCATCTGCGATATGGAGTGGAAAACCAACTCAGGATCAGATCCATCTATCTGGAGAATAAAGGGTGTTCTAAAATGACAAGTATTTGAAAATTGCAAACGATGTTCGGTCTTTAATGTATTATCTATAACTTGTAACATGAGGTACATAGCCATTTATAAAACAGTTGGACTTTAAAATGGATAACTAACACCAAAGCATGCCATTTGGCCCATCAGTCCATGTTGGATTTTTGCTGAAGTCTTTTTCCATTCTTTTCTCATCTAAATCTATCATCTTAACCTTTCATTCCCATCTCCCTCAGATGGGTGTTTAGTATCACCTTAATCTACACTATTAACTTCAACCACACCATGTTATGGTAAACTCCACATTCTCAAATAAAAATGAAGTTCTGTGGATGCTGGGAATATGAAACAAACACAGAGAATGCTGGAGAAACTTAGCAGGTCTGGCTGCGGCTATGGCAAGAGAGAAACAGAGTTAACGTTTCAATTCCGGTCAGACTGTTCTCTGGAACTTAAAGGAGCTGGAGGATGATTGATTTTAATGTTGGTGACCTTGTGTGCATGGGAGTGAGGAGGGAGGTGGTGGTGGTAGAACAGATGGTGAGGGTGCCCAGAGCAAAAGACCGAGGGGGTGTTAGTGGAATTACAGGAGTGATAGAGATGTAAATTGGGTGTGAATTAAGGTGTGTAAGGGAGGAAATAGGTCCATTCCATTATTCTGCATTCTCACCTCTCTCTGGTTAACAGATTGGGGATTCCCTTTGCAACTTGCTTCAGTTCTGCTCCCAGGTTCCTGGGATGTCAGTGCATGCTGGTCAGTGAGATGTGGCTCCACTGTTATGGAAAGAACAGCCCTGGTAGAATGGCAGGCTCTTTACCCAGCATGCATAGGGAAAAAGAAAGTCCTCTATCTAGGGTAGAATAGCTATGTCAATATGGAGAGAGGGTAAATATCTCCCCATTTGTTTGAAACTTTTATTCCAGTACATACAAGGAATATGTGAGAATGAGAAAAAAGCAAGCTACAGGTAGTTACTAAGATGCACATGATAATTAGTGTTATCTCTAAGAACAGAGCTTCTCAAAAATTTACCTGCTGTGACCCCCGTAGCAAGGCTTGGAAATTGTTGTGGTCCCTCAGAGGGAACTGTACGATTGGAGTGGAGGACAGCAGAAGCTCAGCTGTTATAACTTTGCAGTTACTGATGTTTGCAGTTTTGGGAGCCCAAATTCCATCTCACCACCCCCTCCCCACTTGGGTTGTTGACCCCCACTTTGGCACAGTCAGCCTTAGGGCTGTTGTTGTTGTGTTTCCATGATCTTGCCAGACCAAAGGGCTGCCCTCTCATTAGAGAGAGAGAGACGATTGGTGTTGGTTTAACCTGAGGGTCACCACACCTCAGGTGAGGGGAGAGGTTGAAAAGGAGAGTCCTTCATGGTAACCTCAGCTGGTACAGGATTTGAACCCACACTGTTGGCATCCACTCAGCATTGCAGACCAACCATCCAGCCAGCTGAGCTAAACCAACCCCTGGCCTTAGAGCAACTAATACATGATATAAAAACCCCAACAAAAAAAACCCTTGTGATTTGAAATATAGTAGCTCCAAGAACAGACCAGAGGCTAGGAATCCTGCACTGAGTAACTCTCCTCCTCACTCCCCAAAGCCTATCCACTTGTGTGGTAGTGCAGCACAAGTACACATGGTGCTGGATTCAGGTTCCAGTTTCCGAGGTTGCATGGGTTCGTATCCCACCATTGCCAGTTATGCAAAGGGGGTGGCACGGTGGCATGGTGGCAAGCACTGCTGCTTCACAGCGCCAGGGACCCGGGTTTGATTCCACCCTCGGGTGACTATCTGCGTGGAGTTTGCACATTCTCCCCGTGTCTGTGTGGGTTTCCGCCCACAGTCCAAAGATGTGCAGGCTAGGTGGATTGGCCATGCTAAATTGCCCATAGTGGTCAGGGATGTGTAGATTAAGTGGGTTATAGGGGGATGGGTCTGGGTGGGATGCTCTGTGGGTTGGTGTGGACTTGTTGGGCTGAAGGGCCTGTTTCCGCACTGTAGGGATTCTATGAATTCTATGATCAAGGCACAAGTCAGGAGTGTGATGGAATACTCTCCACTTGCCTGGATGGGTGCAGCTCCAACAACACTCAAGAAGCTTGACACCATCCAGGACAAAGCAGCCGCTTGATTAGCACCACATCTACACTGTCCACTACTGAGACTAGAAGCAGTATGTGTACCATCTACACAATATCTTAGATTCTTAGACAGCACCTTCCAAACCTTCCATTTAGAAGGTCAAGGGCAGCAGATACATGGGAACACCACCCCCTGCAAGCTCCCCTCCAAACCACTCACCATCCTGACTTGGAAATATATCGCTGTTCCTTTAGTATCACTGGGTCAAAATCCTGGAATTCCCTCCCTAAGGGTGTTGTGGGTCTACCTACACAATGTGCACTGCAGCGGTTCAAGAAGGCAGCTCACCACCACCTTCTCAAAGGGCAACTAGGGATGGGTAATAGTGACAGCCACATTTCAAAAACAAATAAAAACACACTTTAAATAAATGGGGCAGAGGGTGGACACATTGACTGTGCCATAATCTAACTAAGGATGGAATTTTGTTTTGTGTCATTGTGTATGGAAAGGTAAACTGGTCACTGCATTTGATAAGGTTTGTGTTTACAGATCATCCTTGATTAGACTTGTGTTCCCTGGAATATGAAATGTTTGTGAATGATTCAATTGAGGTTTTTATGAATTCTGAAAGGATCTGATAGGTGGATAGACAGAAATTTCCTTCGCATGCTGGAGTGTTGAGAACAGATAGACGTAACTTTACAATGCAAGCCAGCCATTCAGCTGGGAAGTGAGGAAACCCCTTACCACTAAAAGAATGCCATGCTTAGAAAACATCGAAAATAGGAGCAGGAGTCATCCATTTGGCCTTTTGAGCCTGCTCTGCCATTAAATACGATCTCAGCCAATCATGTATGCTTCCTACTTTCACAGGGTTATACAGAGCTCCATCAAAACTTCCTCACTCTTGTATTCAATGTCTTGACTAATAAAGGTATATCCCATATGCCTTCTTATCGACCTGTCCTGCTGCGTTTAAGGATCGATGGACAACCACACCAAGCTCCCTCTGACCATCTGTACTTTCTAGGGTCCTATTATTCATTGTGTACTCCCTTGCCCTGGGGGTCCTCCCAAAACTCATTACCTCACACTTTTCAGGATTGAATTTCACTTGCCACTGCACAATCCCATCTGACCAGCCCCATCTATATCAACCTGGAGTCCAAGGCTTTTGCCCTAATTATTTACCAAGCAACTGAATTTCATGTCATCTGTGACCTTAGTGATCATGCTTCTTACCTTCATGTCTAAATCATTAACGTACACAACAAACAGCGAGACACCCAGCACTGAACACTACGGTACACCACTGGACACAGCCTTCCAGTTACAGACTTGGTCTTGTTCTGTTGCCAGTTTTGGATGCAATTTGCCAAATTGCCCTGATGCCATGGGCTGTCAGTTACTTAACCAGTCTGCCACATGAGACCTTGTCAAAAGCCTTACTGAAGTCGATGTGGACTACATCCACTGCAAGACCCTCATCTAACTCAAAAAATTCATTCAAATCAAAGAGAACTTTCTTCCAGAAAATTAAGTCGACTGCAATCCAATTTACAATTCTACAGCAATCAATGCTTCATTGAAAAGGATACCAAGAATAATGGAGTCAGTATGAGTAAATGAATAAAGATCAGACACGATTTCATCAGAAGGCAGGATGGGGTTTAGGGGCTGAATAACACCTTGCTGTTCCCATAATCAGTCTACGTGCCTTCGAATGATACACATAATTAAACCAGTTTTAAAACAGGGTGATTTCTCAGGAAATAGTATTCAACAACCTACATTGCTGAAACAAGATTGTTCTTCTCAAATACCTGCAATTCTGTTTGGAAGAAAAACTTCTGTGGGCACTGTGAACAGTCGTAGATCTTGTCCTCCTGCCCATGGGCAGAAAAAATATGATGCTGCAACTTGCTTGCTTGAACAAACACTGGAAAGAAAACCCAAAGAGTTAATGGGCTGTCCTGCAAGATGTAGAGCCCACCTATAGACACAAGTGTTATGTGTAAAACACACACACGCGCACACGCACTCACACACACACACACACACACACACGCGCACACGCACTCACACACACACACACACACACACACACACACGCACGCACACACACGCGCATACATTCATACACACACATGCGCGTACATTCATACACACACACACACGCATACATTCATACACACACACATTCATACACACACACGCGCGTACATTCATACACACACACAATTACGCACACACATGCCTTCACACACTGTCAGACATGTATTGTCTCACACACACACATTCCTATACACACTCATTCTAATGCTGCTCAATAGCTCCACAGTGTAAGTTATGTTACATTTACTGTACTGTTATAATAGCTCATTTGACCCAATTGATCCATTTATGCTCCACATTGGAATTTTTTTCCTCTTCCTTTCATTCTTCTAATTCTTCACTTTGTTTTGGATAATATTTCCAAACTCTACTCGTTTTCTGTCTCCCACTCATTCTCCAGCCCCTTTAAACTCTCGGTTCTGCTCTTGTCTACTTTGCAGTCTTGCCTTTGCTACAGCTCCTGTCTCTGTTATTGCTGGGCATTGCTGTTTGAACCGAAGCTCACAGTTACTAACAGTTGTCCGTGTTGCATCTTATAGCGACTCGCTGCACAGAAGGCCATTCAGCCCAGGGTATCTGTGCTGGTCTATGAAAAAACTGTCCAATTAGTCTCATCCACCCACTGTTTACTCGCCCATAGCCCTGAAAATGTGTCCTTTTACATATTTACCAATTTCCCTTATTCAAGTCATCATTGAGCATGCCCTCACTGCCCTATCAGGCAGCAAGTTCCAGATCACAACAATTTGCTGTGGAACAAATCTCTGCTCAACTCCCCCTTTGATTCTTTTTCCAATTATCTTAAACCTGTGGCCTCTGTTCACCAGGCTTCCTGCCATTTCAAATTATTCCTTCTGTTTTATACTTCTCAGCTCACTGCCTATAAGGGTGGTAGAGGCAGAAACCCTCAGAACATTGAAGAATTATTTAGATGTACAGTTTCAATGCCAAAGCACACAAGGCTAACTACTGGAAAATGGGCTTAGAATAGTTAGGTGGTTGCTTCTGACTATCACAGACTTGATGGGCGGAAAGGCCTTTTCCTATGCTGTAGATCTCTATGACTCAATGAATCATAGAATCATACAGCACAGAGGAGGCCCTTCAGCTAAGGAATCTGTACTGTCAAAAGTATACCACTACCCACACCAGTCCCACTTTCTGCACTGGGCCCATAGCCTTGCATGTTATGACACAAAGTGCTCATCCAAGTACTTTATAAAGATTGTGAGGTTTCATGCTTCAACTACCCTCCTAGGAAGTGCATTCCAGACCCCCCCACCCCACCCTCTGGATTCTCAGATTCCCTCTAATCCTCCTGCCTATCATCTTAAAATTATACCTGCTGGTTCTTGACCGTTAACTAAGAGGAACAGCTGCTTTTTAACCACCCTTTCCATGCCTCTTATAATCTAATACACCTCTATCAGGTTCCCACTCAGCCTTCTCTGCTCCAAAGAAAACAACCTGAGCTTGTCCAGCGTCTCCAAGTGCTGGCAAATGGGACTAGATTAATTCAGGGATATCTGGTCAGCATGGAGGAATTGGACCGAAGGGTCTGTTTCTATGCTGTATGATTGAATGACTCAATGGCCAGGGTTGCAGGGTTTGAGCTATGGGGAGAGGCTGAATAGGCTGGGGCTATTTTCCCTGGAGCGTCGGAGGCTGAGGGGTAACCTTATAGAGATTTATAAAATCATGAGAGGCACGGATAGGGTAAATAGGCAAGGTCTTTTCCCCAGTGTAGGGGAGTTCAAAACCAGAGGGCATTGGTTTAAGGTGAGAGGGGAAAGATTTAAAAGGGACCTAAGGGGCAGAGGGTGGTGCGTGTATGGAATGAGCTGCCAGAGGATGTGGTGGAGGCCGGTCCAATTACAACATTTAAAAGGCATCTGGACGGGTACATGAATAGGAAGCGTTTACAGGGATATGGGCCAAATGCTGGCAAATAGGACTAGATTAGTTTAGGATATCTACGCATGGACAAGTTGGGCTAAAGTGTCTGTTTCCGTGCTGTACGTCTCTATGACTCTATGACTAAAGTTTGGTGACAAGAACTGCACACCAAAGTCCTGTGCAGCTCTGACATAATCTCCGTTCTCTTATAATCTATGCTTTGACTGATAAAGGTAAATTTTAGACGGGGATATGCTGCTCCTGGATGTGAAAGGAACAAGAACGAGAGGGCGCAGATTTAAACTGAGGTGGCAAGGGTGAAATCTTTCTCATCCAGCAAGTAATTAGGGTCTGGAATGCACTACCTGGAAAAGTGGTGGAGACAGGTTCAAATGGGGCATTGAAGGGGGGCATGCGATGGTTATTTGAATAGAAACGGTGTGCAGGGATACAGGGAAAAGGCAAGAGATTGGAGCCAGGGGAGTTGCAGACTCAATGGGCCGAATGGCCTCTGCCTGCATTATAAGAATTCTGTGATTAAGGCTGAATGGATTCGGTGGGGGTGGGGGTCCCAGGATGGAGACGCGAGGGTGACCTTTGACCCAGTGCACTGACAGCAAATTCTTCAGCAACCACTGTAGTGATGTTTCCAATTCTAATGAGTACAAACTGGGGCCGAGAATGTAAAAAAAACACACACCAAGGGGAAGTTTACCAGAGAGCCACGCCATTAATAATTGAGCAGTGTATGCTACAGGCTGGGAAAAGAGATTTTCTGAAGGATACCTGAAGCACTGTGACCTACAAGGTTTCTCGACACGATATCATTACAGAGAGATTATAATGGGAGAGCCTGAAACTGAAACTCATTCATGTAAAGCCCAGCCTCTCGCAAAGAGCTGCGGAAAACTGGGGTAGGAGGAGCCTTTGGACACCAATAACCAAGATCTGATAAAGATTAATCCGAGATGGGTGTTTCACAAACAATGGTGAAGGGTGTATGTTGCAGACTTTCTAGCTTTGCTCCAGCAACCAAAGCTAGATCTTCAGAACATGGTGAGTCGTGACAAGGAGGGGAGACATCATTGAGCTGTGAACATAAATGATATTGGGTGTCTTCGTTGTACTAGGGATGGGGGGCAGGGGGCTCAAGGACAGCGAGGATGGCTATAGTCATCCAACACTTGGCACTCCCACAGCATCCAGGATGGTGCATGGACTGGGTGGTCACTGAACAGGTCAACCCCAGGGAGACAGAGCAAACTGCAGCATCACAGATTTGTTATGGAGAAGAAGGACGCCCATTTGGCCCATCATGCCTGTGCGAGCTACTACACACCTAGTACCAATTTAGGTGGCCTAGTGGTATTATCGCTGCACTGTTAATCCAAAGACCCAGGTAACGTTCTACAATCCCGGGTTTGAATTCTGCCATGGCAGATGGTGGAGGTTGATTTCAATAAAAATCCGGAATATAGAGTCTAATGATGACCATGAATCTATTGTCGAATATCAGGAAAATCCCATCTGGTTCACTGAAGGCCTTCAGGGAATGAAACCTGCAAACCCCTCCTTACCCGGTCTGGACTACATGTGACTCCAGACCCACAGCATTGTAGTTGACCCTTAAGTGCCATCTGGGCAATTAGGGATGGGCAATAAATGCTGGCTTAGCCAACAATGCTCACATCCCATAAATGAATAAGAGCTAATCTCCTATCTGTCCTTTCCCTATATCCCTGCACATAGTTTCTATCCAAATAATCATCCAATGCCCCTCTTGAATGCCTTACGAGCGATTCAGACTATGTTGGTACCAATGACAGTGACAGAAAGGGGGATATAATCCTGAATTTAGGAGCACGGTAGGAAATTAGCAAGCAGGACCTCAAATGTTGTAATCCCTGGATTACTCCCTGCACCATGTGCAATCGAATGCAAGATGAAGAGGATAGAGGAGATGAACATGTGGCTGCACAGATGATGCAGGAGGGAGGGTTTCTGATTCATAGAGACAAAAAGTTTTTTCATCACAGAAAGAGGCCCTTTGGCCCATCATGTCTACACCAGACATCAATCATCCATCTATCCTAATCCTAATTTTCTGGCATTGGTCCAAAGCCTTGTGTGCTTTGGCATTTCAAATGTTCTCTAAATGCTTCTTAAGTGTTTACAAGCCTTTACCAAGCTTTCAGGCAGCAAGTTACAGACACCTATCACCCTCTGAGGGAGCATGCTAGCAAAGGACTTTCGAACACAAGAAGGTCATTCAGCCTCTAGCATGCTCCTCCATGCTATAAGATCTGTCTGTTATAACCCCACTTTCCTGTCTGTCTTCTGTTGCTGGCTGCAAGATGAAGCTGATAGGTTACAAAAGAACCTGTTTCCTTGTGGGACAACGTTTAAGTGCTGCTGGGGAGGGTTGAAACTAACTGCACAGGACTTTGGGAATAGTAAGGAAATTGAGGGAAGTCAGGATAAAAGCAGAAAATTGGAGTTGATAGTTAACAAAACAGCTGAGATCTCATTAAATGGTGGAGCACACTTGATGGGCTGAATGGCCTACTTCTGCTCCTAAGTCTAATGGTCTTAACCAGGAAGTAATATCAGACAGGAATACTACACTCCACAGGAATCTGGGGAAGATTGCAGTAGAGTAGGAAACAGTAAAGTATGAGGTGAGTTCACAGCAAAACGAGAAGGAATAAAGTCTACATTGAGTTTACAGTGCATGTGGGTGAGTGCTAACTGAGATTGGTGAGCTATAGCCAGTCACATGGAATTCTCATGTTGTGGTGATGATGGAGACTTGGCTCAAGGAAGGGCAGGACTAGATATTCATGGATACAAGATGTCCAGGAAAGGCAGGAAAGGATGAAAAGGGAGAAGGGCAGCAGTATTAATTAAGGAGGGTGCTGCAGACAGAGGGTGCCCCAAAGGGGTCAAGGACAGAATTGATTTGGTTAGAGTTAAGGAGCAAGAAAGTTGCAATGTCATTGCTGAGGGTGGTCTGCAGGCCACCAACTAGTGGGAGGGACAATGACAAATCAGTTTGCAAGGATATTACAGTGAGGTGCAAACATTTTTTTATTAATTCGTGGGACATGGGTATCGCTGTCTGGGCCAGCATTTCTTGCCCGTCCCTGGTTGCCCCTTGAGAAGGTGGTGGTTAGTTGCATTCTTGAACTGGTGCAGCTTCTGTGCTGCAGGTAGACCCACAACGCCCTTAGGGAAGGAATTCCAGGATTTTGACCCAGTGACACTGAAGGAACGCCGATATATTTCCAAGTCAGGATGGTGAGTGGCTTGGAGGGGAACTTGCAGGGGGTGGTGTTCCCATGTATCTGCTGCCCTTGTCCTTCTAAACAGAAGTGGTTGTGGGTTTGAAAGGTCCTGTCTGAGAAGCCTTGATGAATTTCTGATGTGCATCTTGTAGTTAGTACACACTACTGCTATTAAACGTTGGTGATGGTGGGAATGAATTGTGTGGATGTGCGCAGGTTATTTTGTCCTGGGTGTTGTCAAGCTTCCTGAGTGTTGTTGGAGCTGACTCCAGCCAGACAAGTGGGGAATATTCCATCACACTCCTGTATAGTGCCTTGTAGATGGTGGACAGGCTTTCGGAAGTCAGGAGGTGAGTTATTTGCTGCAGCATTCCTCGCCTCTAACCGGTTCTTGTTTGTTTCTGTCAATGGTAACCCGCAGGATGGTGATAGTGGGAGATTTAGCAATGGTAATACAATTGAATGCCAAGGTTAGATGGTTAGATTGTCTCTTATTGGAGACGGTCATTGCCTGGCATTTGTGTGGCACAAATGTCACTTGCCACTTGTCAGCCCAAACCTGGATATTGCCCAGATCTCGTTGCATTTGAACACGGACTGCTTCAGTATCTGAGGATTTGCAAATGGTGCTGAACATTGTGCAAGCATGGGTGAACATCCCCACTTCTGACCTTATGATGGAGGGGTCTTATTGTCTTACGAAGAGGTTTCGACCATGCAAATAAGGAGGAACTTGCCAGTTGCAGGACAGTCAGTGCCCAGAGAGACACAGTTTGAAATGAGTTGGCAAAAGTAGTGAGGAGTTGGGGAGAATGTGGGGTGGTGGTGCTGGGAAAACAAAAGATATTTTTCCAGAACAGCTCGAGTTGTTGTGATCTGGGATGCACTCCCTGAAAGGGTGATGAAATCAGATTCAGCAAGAATTTTCCAAAGGGAATTGCTGGAAGGGAAACAAAACTTGCCGGGAAAGAGCAGGGGATAGTGGAGCTAATTCAGGTCTGTCAGTGTGCCAGCAGATGTGAGGGGCGGAAAGGTCTCCTTCTGTATAGTATGATCCGAAGAAGCAGAGAGTGGGTAATGGTAAGTGGAGAGAAAAAAAAAAGCAGTGAATTCTCTGCCTCTGAGTCCTGGGGCAGAATTTGCTGTTCAAAGTGTGCAGGGGAGCTAATCCAGGGAGAGCTGGGTGAGAGTGGACACACACAGTGCACTGCATTGACTGATAAAGCTCTCTAGAATTGGGGAATATCCAGCTGCACTCAACAAGTAAACTGCACAGACTGCAGACTTAAAAAAAAATAACCTGAATGAGCTTCTCCTTTCAGTGTTTACATTGACAATATGTTTTCATGGTAAAACAGCACAGAAAAAAAAACATCAAGTCTTTGCTTTTAAGGAGTCTGGAAGGTGCGGAGGATATAGGAATCATTAATTGCCTGCCAGGATTTTTTTTGGCACTGAGTTTTTCCCGACTTTTCAGAACGTAACCACACCTCACATTTCCCAGGTTCTGCTGCCAGAATGCATGGCTGACTTCAATGAGATCACAAACCAACAGAAATTCCTCTGGTACTTTGTAAATCTGTGCAACATCTGCAAAGAGAAGCTTGCTAGTTTCTCAAGCTGTTCCCAAGAAGGTTTGCAACTGCAGCATTGAGAAGGTTTGAACACCAGTTGGTTTGGCAAGCTGACACTTTAGTATGTTTTACCCTCCAACTGTGCCACTCCCTTCCCCCTTTCGGTTAGCTCTGGCTGGTACACCCAGAACAGATAATGTTGTTCCAGAGCCTTCAGTTGTGGTGTTGCGTACAGTTCAGGTCAGCTGATTATACGAAAGGACTCACTGGCTCTGGAGAAGGTGCAAAGGAGGAGGCCAGAAGATGAGACATCTAGAGTGGATATACTTTCCACTGAAATATAAAACTCAAGGCCAGAGCCGCAAAGATGGAAGAAGTTGCCATAGTTCTCCTTGGACAGAACAAGGCTGAGAGGAGATCTGATAGAGGTTTTCAAAATCATGAGCATGGCAGAATAGACAGAGAGAAGCTGTTCCTGTTTGTAAAAAGGAACAAGAATGAGAGGGTGTAGATCTGAAGTCAAGTAAGGGTAACGTGAGAGAAATCTTTCTCACCCAGCGAGTAGTTAGGGTCTGGAATGCACTGCCTGGAAATGTAGTGTAGGCAGATTCAATTCAGGCATTCAAGATGGGCATTGGATGATTATTTGGATAGAAATGGTGTGCAGGGACATGAGGAGATTGGTACTAGGGGATAGAAGGGGTGTAGGCAAGATGGGCCGAATGGTCTCTTTCTGCATCGTAACAATTCCCTAAACCACAATGGTCTTTAAAACATTTTGAAAGATGTTTCTATTGAAGGCTCAGAGCGTTGCAACAAGCAAAACTAGAGGTTGCCACAGTGAGGTAGTCAATGATAAATCCATTAGGGAGATCAAGAGAAATGGTTTTCCCCAGAGAGTGGGGAGAATGTGGAGCTTGCTCCTACAGGGAGTGGGGTGAAGTGAACATTACGGATGCATTAAGAGGAAGCTGGATAAAGACTTAAGGGAGAAAGGAGCATCACAATTGAATGCACAGGGAGTGCACTCTGGATCATAACTTGCCGCTGAAAACGTTCTTATTGTGCATTTGAGGTCAAATCTAAATTATTCACAGCTAGCAAACAGGACTGTCAGGTGAGATGATTCAGCTTCCTTTCAGCCAGCAAGGATAAATTGAAAGCTCCTGATTGTGCTGGCTCGACGTGTGACGGTCTTGACTCTAGGTCAAAGGGTTGTAAGTTCAAACAGCTGCCCAGGACTTACGAGTGCACACAAAGACCCTCACAGCTGCCTCAGTCCTGAGGGAGGCACTGCACTGCTGCAGTCACTCAGTTCTCCTGCTACATCCCGTACCCCCGTACCTGTGAAGCACACTGGACATTTGAAGGTGCCCCCCATCCCTTCGAAGCTGTGCTCGATCAGATGACACTGCAGTTTGGCCGGGGAGTCGAACGTTTGATTGCAGAGCTTACACTCATGGTTGAGGCCCTCCTCTGTGGTGGGGTGGCGGGGTGGGGAGGGTAGAAGAAAGAGAAAGTAGTTATTTTCATTGAAAGTGATGTGTCTCTGTCAAACCCGTCACCATTTCATCCCACCAGGCGCCGTTCAATTACCTGTTAAACAATGACAGGCTCATTTTGCATGTTGCATTCTCAAGCCCATTAACCAGCTTTTTTGCACAGACACCCACATCCACTGTCTACAGCGATACATCCCTGCGTATAACACTTCTCCAACTGTTCCTCAAACACCCTCAGCAACACTCAGTGCACCTGTTTCGAAAGCCTCTGTCAATCACCTCAGAGCATCAGTGTACATGCCTGACCCACGCATTACAAAACTGAAAATCTTTGTTTTTATTCACTCATAGGATGTAAGTGTTGCTGGCTAGGCCAGCATTTATTGCCCGTCCTTCGTTGTGCTTTGAGAAGGTGGTAGTGAGCTGCCTTCTTGAACTATTGCACTCCATGCGTTAAAAGCCGAAAGAACTGTGGATGCTGTAAATCAGGAACATAAAACAGAAGTTGCTGGAAAAGCTCAGCAGGTCTGGTAGCATCTGTGAAGGAAAAATCAGAGTTAATGTTTCAGGTCCGGTTCTGAGACCCGAAATGTTAACTCTGATTTTTATCTTCACAGATGCTGCCAGACCTGCTGAGCTTTTCCAGCAGTTCATGTGTTGTAGTTAGAAGTCACGTGACACCAGGTTATAGTCCAACAGGTTTATTTGAAAACACAAGCTTTCGCAGTGCTGGGTTTGGACTTCTTTCCCTGGAGTGTAGGAGGTTGAGGGGTGACTTTATAGAGATTTATAAAATCATGGGAGATGTAGATAAGGTGAACAACCAAAGTCTTTTCTCTAGGGTGGGGGAGTTCAAAAGTAGAAGACATAGTTTTAAGGTGAGAGGAGAAACGTTTTCACACAGAGAGTGGTGCATGTATGATGAGCTGCCAGAGGAAGTGGTAGATGCAGGTGCAGTTAGAACATTTAAAAGACATTTGGACAGGTACATGGATAGGAAAGGTTTAGAGGGATAGGGGCCAAAAGCAGGCAGGTGGCTCTAGTTTAGTTTGGTAAACCTGGTCGGCATGGACGAGTCGGACCAAAGGGTCTGTTTCTGTGCTGTATGACTCTATCAGATTTCCTGTTTGGTTTCTTCTCTCAAGGAGGCTCTGGAGGGAGTGCAGGAAGAGAAGGCTTTATGGGGACGACCGGGAAAGATCGAACGGAGAGGGCATTTTGCACTGAGAAATGGGAGGTTGAAGGATGCCCTGAGAGAGGTCTTTGAAATTATAAAGAGTTTAGATACCGAGACAGGGAGAAGGCGCTCCCACGAACAAGATCTAAAACTAGGGAACTGAGAGTCATCATTTTAAGCGAGTCCCACTAACAAATCCAGTCAGGGATTCAGGATAAACTTCTGCAGAGAGAGAGTGGGGAGAATGTGGAGCTAGCTCCTACAGAGAGGGATTGAGATGAAGATGCATTTGAGAGAAAATTAGATAAAGGTGTGAGGGAAAAGGCATAGTTGGTGCTGTTGATGGGGTGAGATGGATAGTGTGGGGAAAGGCTTGAGCAGACCAGAAACAGCCACAAAAACTAGAGGTGGTGAGTGGCCTGTGTCTATGCTGTAAATTCTGCACCATTCTCTGCAAGTGATCTCTCGACATTTAATCAGAGAATTGACTGGATAAAGAACGAGTAAATTTAATCCTGGCTATTTTCATTACCTGAATGATGTGGAGGTGCCGGTGTAGGACTGGTGCGGACAAGGCCAGAAATCACATGACAATAGGTTATAGTGTCATTTCACCTGATGAAGGGGCTGTGCTCCGAAAGCTTGTGATTTCACATAAACGTGTTGGGCTATAACTTAATGTCACATTACCTGAATGAATACAGCAATCAGAGCTGAAATAACCTTGCAATTTAAATCAGAAGCTTTGGTGCAGGCATTTATTTTGAATTACTTCAGGGTGAGAGTTAATGGAAGTAGGGAGCTGAAGGTGGAGACCAGTTGAACAAAATGGATTTAAATCCTGAATTAAAACCAACCCCAGGCTTTTAACTTTCTGCACTGTATCAGGGTACTCACATCTCTCTAGGAATTCAGAGTATGTTTTTTGACTGGTACAGGCAGATAAAACAGTCCTTCAGTGGGCAGTACATCCACCGTGGAGTCTGCAGTTTGTGTGTTAAGTCCCACCCTTACACTAAAGTCACATCTGTCAAAGCTGTGCAATACTGAAGGAGTGCTGCACTGTCAGAATTGCTGTCAATCTGCCAGGTCCAAAACTTGGCTCCTCAGGTGGATGTGAGAGGTCATGCAGCCCTATTTCAGCCCTATTGTCCTGGTCGATAATCATCCCTCAAACAAACACTGCCTCAAAAAAAATACGATCTGATCATGGGGAAATGTGGAACTATTCACTTTGAAACTTTTAAATAGAATCATAGAGATCTTCAGCACAAACAGTCCCTCCAGTCGGTTCCTGTTAAAAAACAGCCACCTATCTATTCTAATCCCATTTCCCAGCACCTGGCCCATAGCCTTAGCATTGCAAGTGCGCATTTAAATATTTCTTCAATGTGATGAGGGTTTCTGCCTCTCCCACCCTTACAGGCAGTGAGTTCCAGATTCCCACCACCCTCTGGGTGAAAATGTTTTCCCCCACATCTCCCATAAACCATCTGCCCTTTATCTTAAATCTATGACCCCTGGTCATTGATCCCTCCATCAAAGGGTAAAGTTCCTTCCTGTCTACCCTATGTATGTCCCTCATAATTTCATACATCTCTCAGTCTCCTCTGCTCCAAGCGAAACAACCCCAGTCTGTCCAATCTCTCTTCATCACTGAAACTCTCCAGCCCCAGCAACATTCCGCTAAATCTCCTCTGCACCCTCTCCAGTGCTATCACATCCCTCCTATTATGTGGATCACATACGATGTGGATTCCAGAACTCCCAAATGTTGATGTTCAGGGTACATTTGGACAAAATGCACTGAAAGTCCTGATGAAGGTTTTTGGTCCAAAATGTCGACTTTCCCGCTCCTCGGATGCTGTCTGACCTGCTGTGCTTTTCCAGCTCCACATTTATTGACTGAAAGTTAGCAATTCAGATATGGCAAGCAATTGCAAACATGAATGGCATGTAGGTCATTACTGCATGGGGATTGGAGAGCAAGAATACAAGGTTTCTCAGTGAGCCAACACCTCAAATACTCAGTGAACTGAATGTCAAAATGAAATTCTCTAACATCCAATGTTTCGATAGCTTCAAAATGATAGCTTTAAGAGTTTGTTGCTTCAGTATCTTCCTGAAATTGTAATGTTAAAGGAATATCTTAAATCAAAGCTGCCTGTCAATTATACTCTATGTTGACGAGGAGAATCCTACTGTGTGCAACAGACAGTTCCATGATTATGCTAATGACTCTTGTCAGCTAATCGTTAGTTAGTTAACTCCATATTAGTTACTCCGTGTTAGTTAACTCCCATTGTGATTTAGCTCACAGAATCATAACCATGGTTACAGTACAGGAGGAGGCCCTTTGGCCCATTGTCTCTCTGACAGCTCTCTGTAACATGTCTCTGTAGTAGCTCTCTACTCATTGTGCTGTCATCCCTGAGCTCGTTTCTTCTTTCTAATCGTTATCCAGCTCCCATTTGAAATTCATGATTGAACTTGCCCCCCCCATTCTCTCATTCTCCATCCAAACTGGTACCCAAATCCTCCTCAGGTTGCCTCTTTTGCCAGTCATTTCAAATCTCTGACTTCTGGTTATAGAGTCATAGAATCATACAGAAACAGACCCTTCAGTATAACTCATCCACGCCAACGAAGTTACCCAAACTAAACTAGTCCCATTTGCCTGTGTTTGGCCCATATCCCTCTAAACCTTTCCTATTCACGTACCTATCCAAATATCTTTTAAATGTTGTAACTGTGCCTACATCTACCACTTCCTCTGGCAGTTCAATCCACACACTATGTGAAAGAAGTTGCTTCTCAGGTCCCTTTTAAATCTTTCTCCTCTCACTTTAAAAATATGCCCGCCAGTTTTGAACTCTCCCACCTTAGGGCAAAAAAAAACCTTTCCTAGTCACCTTATCTATGCCCCTCATGATTTTATAAATCTCTATTTAGTCACCCCCTTAACCTTTCACTCCAGCGAAAAAGTCCCAGCTTATTGTGCCGCTCCTTATAATTCAAACCCTCCAGTCCTATTACCATCCTTGTGAATATTTTCTGCACCCTCTCCAATTTAATAACATCATTCCCAATGCAGGGAAACCAGAACTGTACACAGTATTCCAGAAGTCTAATTCTAGGGGCATGCATTTAAGGTGAGAGAGAGAAAGTTCAAAGGAGATGTGAGGGGCTTTTAAGAGACTTTTAGATAAGCACATGGTATGCAAAACGAGTGGAGGGATATGGACCATGGGCAGGCAGAAGGGATTAGTTTAATTTGGAGTCATGTTTGGCATAACATCGTAGGCCGAAGGGCTCGTTCCTGTGCTGTATCATTCTATGTTTAAGTTTTGTTTTGTACACCACATTTGAGTCTGTCAAGATTGGGAATGATGTGTCCTTATCTGCTCTGTCCAGACCCTCTCACACTTTCAAACACCTCGATCAGATCTCCCTACAGCCTTCACTCCCCCAGTTGGCTCCAAATCACACGCTCACGAAATAGTAACTAATAGATCCAGAAATGCCTCAGATGAAATGTGGGATCAGTAAGAATCTATGTGAAAGTGTTTGGGTGGGGGGAATCGGGGAATAAACCATTTCTCTCTAACTGCAGAACAGCAAATGAGCCAATGGCTGAGGTAGAATGTTGATTATAATTTGTTTGATGGTTTCACATAGCTATCCGATTACTGGACCACATCAAGGATTACACAGAAAGCAGTTACGCTGATTGCTGACCTCCCTGAGTTTGCAGTGGTTCTAGTTAAACTGCTACCTTGCTCACACTGCGCCCCTGC